GTGAATACAAAATTTTGCTGATTAAAGTAATTGTTATATGGATTCAACCTGTAGTGAGCGATGTAGTTTATGTTACTTATTATCTTCTCAGTGAAAGAGAAATTAATACTCTAAATGTAAACTAATTATTCGGCTATAAATTACCTGAAATTTTGTCATTTGCAATTTTCATCATATCTGAAATAATATATATTTTCTGTTTTTATATACCACTGAACTTTTTATACCTTCACTTTTTTTCAACATGTAAATTAATAGAAAAGTGTATTAACGAGTTGTCGCACAAGATATCTACGTGTGAAGAATTCGCAAAGGAAATGTATTCGATTCCAAATTTGTACATGAAAATAAAAGAAATAGTAGAAGCTACCGAAGAAAGCTATTCCTCAATTTTGTTTATTTGGACATCTGTTTTAGGGATTTACTTAACCATAAGTATCTGCAATTTCGTAATTCCTTCAGCTACTATCGATAGATTTCAAGCAATATTCTTATTTTCTTTTAGTCTTTGCCCATTTTTGTTGTTTTTCCATGTTTGCGTTAGTGCTTCGAGAGTAACGGAATCTGCTGTGAAATTTTCGTCGGTTATCAATAAAAAGTCACTATCTTGCAACGAAGACTTATTCAAGAATATGCGTATAGATTTTCCTCTAAATGCTTAGAAGAATTGCCTTCGTTTTCTGCCTGTAATGCGTTTAAAATAAATCGAATCTTAGTGTTGACTATTATTAGTGTAGCAGTTACTTATACTGTTGTTGTTAGTCAATATTCTTAATTTCAAGATTGTTCTCAAAAATAAAGAGCAAAAAATATATTAATATTGCTATTTTTTCATGTATGTACAGTATGATTCGACACTTTACACTGTGACAATAAAACTTCATAATTTACAGTGTAACAATGTGAATCCATTTCTATTGTAAATATATACTACAAGACAAATGCAATAAAATTAGTAATAGCGCTAAACCAAATAATGTAGTGTAAGGTAATGTAATGTAATGTGAGGTCTCTACCCATAGTCGTACTTGCTAGATGGAATTTTCAATGATAGAGATTACAAAATGGCGTCCTCCATATCAAACAGCAGTGAATTCAAACAACGATCTGTTATTTCATTTATGATAGTCGAAGGTATTCGTTGTAAGTGAGATTCATAACAGGGTATATAATAATGGGGCATGTTGCTACAAAAAATTTATGTTAATAAGTCTTCATAGTTCATCGCATACGTTTATTTTGACCTTTCTTGAACTTCTCTATCTATCTAAACTTTCACTAAAGGTGTTTGAGAAGGTCAGAATTACTTCGGAGTAATATCAGTTCTTGTAGGAAAATTTTAGTACAATAAATAGTAGTTTTTAAAAAACTTAACTTCATTTTTACAAAGCGATTTAGCAATATTTCAAAAGAAAACTTCTTCTCCTTTTCTATATATTTAAGATTACTGCAATATGTTTGAAGATCTTCACATATTCCTTAAGAAAATACACATCATTGGATTTGAAAGTTTAAATCTTCACAGATGTCTGGTAAGCGGTTGGCTAAATCCAGCAGACACTTAATTGCACTGTACACTACATTGTGAGGAAAACAAGAAATTTAGTTGTAAAGAATTTACCTTCGCCGTATTTATGTATAAAGTAATTTTTAGAAAGTAATGATTCATGTACTTTTCTGTTAAGTTTTTGATATTCATTACTGTTATATTACTTGAAAAATAACAAATATAATACAATATACCTCGTATTATTAACAATTATGTAATCGGAGATGGAAACAATGCACTGCTTTGTGTAAGAATTGTATTGGAAATAAGTACCTGTGAGTATATTTATTGCAAAATTATTTCTACACAACTTGTCTCTTCTTCTCTGTACGGAAATGTAGACTTATATGTATTATTGTTTTTCTTAATATTTTTCTTAATAGTTACCAAGAAATTTACAATACTTAACTGGCAAAACACTACAAATTATTGTAATGTTAATTTATTATATAAATGTCTATTAGGACATGTCATATTAGTAGGACCTATTGTACTGGTGTCTGGTTCTGCGAATTGAGGAAACTTATTTAGTAAAAAGAATATTGTTCACCTGTTTTATCTGATTTTTTAGAAAGTTAGTGACATTATAACACATGTGAAACAGGTGAACAATAAAGATTGTTTTTTCTGAATCACGTGAATTCCGGCCCAGTAACGTAACTAGAGTCGATGTTAGAAGGGTTCAAATTAGAAACATTCACCCCTGTACAAGTGTAGATGTAGCCACAAGCACTATGGATAAATATTAAGCTCTTAGACATATTTATACATGTACATAACTCTTACATATTGTATATAAATAAATTTGTCACATGCATAACTTTATTTCTGTATTTATTTGATTTTTTCTTTATATATTTGTTCACCTAGTGTTCCACTGGTTACACGACTGTGCACCCACAATTATTAAGGATATTTACGAGTAAATTAGTGTAGTATATCAATTTATTAAGATAGACGAATCTAAGTGTAAAGTTAAATGATAGTAATAAGGTTAACATAAAAAAAAATTATGAATAGAGATTAATAATTTTTAATGTTTCTTAAGCAAAAATTTAATTAGTTTCGTAGAAAATAACTGTAGTTAATTGGGTTAATGACTTATGGATGTAATAACAAGTTCATTGTCTACATTTTTTAAGATGATTTACTTTCTTAATGATAATTGCTCCAGGTTTGTCTACAAAAGATAAGGCTGAGTGACCTAGTTACAAGAGAAGTAGAACGTTTCCTTTACAGTTTCACTTTCTCATCTAAAATTATTCTCTAACAATTGTTAAGTCTCAGAAGAAAAACAAATTAATTAAAACATTAAGCTGTAAGCATTATTTAAATAAACACTTATACATAAACCTCAGGAGAGGAAAGTATTGTGAACCGCCGGGGAGGTCAGGAACCGTCGACTCTTCCTTTTCGGCTACAGGTCGTTAAACCTGCTCACTGGTCAAGATGGCTGAATTTCGAATCGGTCCCGAAGGGTCGGGATTCTTTTTGTCAGGTCGAGTGGAGGAGGTGAGAGGGGTCGTCGACGAGGCGTAGGCGATATGCGAGTAAATGACACCATTTAACAATGGAAACAACGATTTACAGTATTAGATTAACGAAAAAAAAATTAAAGAATACAAAATCTAACATATGGGGAAATGAATTTAGTTCGCTAGCTCCTAATTCGCGGAGAGAGAGTTTACATTAACTGTTTCATACCTCTAGTAGATTCAACGTAGGCACAGAGTTCGACGCACAAAGTAAAAGTTTCCGGAGACTTAATCCTTTCAGATCGTTTATGTGAGACTCCCCCGAGGAGGGGGAAAGAAGTAGCTTTTATAGCTTCGGGTAGAGGAAATTAGTCAGGTGATCTCCTATTGTGAGAGATAGAGTTGGTCCTGCAGGTGTGGAGGTTAAAGTTGTTCCCGGGATCAAAACAAAATGACGAATTCGGACTTTAACTATAAACTTTTTTGTCTTGCAGCAGAGGAATGTCATTGTTCGAGGGTTGAATGTTTATATTAACGATGAAAGTTATAAGTTGCGATCGATATTTGATTCTTTTTTCTGACAATGTTATTTTAACGAGAAGGCGACAAATTTATTTCAAATACGTCGAAAGTTTAGGGGGGGGAAATGAACAATTTGGGCTTATTCTGAGGTCGGATCTCACAGTATATATAAGCTATAATGCACCACTAATTCTAGATGCATGCAAGTCTTAGATTCTTCTGTTTTATTTACTGCAACTAATACTTATTTTGTGTTAAATGCCTTAATTAAAACTACTTGTAACAATTAATGTCTACTTAACTCAATTAGATTGCAAATATCTATAAAAATTTTAATAAAAATTACTCTGTATTAATATGCTATTAATTTAACACACGATTATATTATGTTAGTGTTCTTATTCTTTTTAGTTTTTATTGCTGAATGTAACTTTATTTACTTATTTCTTTTTTTTAAGTAAATAACATTGTTTATATTACAGAAATAATGATTATTTTACAATAGAAAATATAGGGTGATCTTACCTATCGTGTCTCTGGCTGGTTTAAAAATTTCTTAGACACTTCAACACTTCTTTAGCTAGAAAATTCTTTATTATTAATTTAGAGCCGAAAAAAATTGCCGAAAATCTTATCAAAGTTATTGGGCAAAAGACCTAACGATAGCTTCAATGCTTTTTGCTAATGCTTCTATGTTTTAAAAATGTTATTAATAAAAATAATTTTATAGTTTTCAAACTTTCTGAACAACTTTCTATCGATTCTTAGAAAGTCAATGACATTATAATATTTTTATACTTATAAATATGAATTTTAAATATAGGTCATTTAAATATTTTACTACTCTTACACCCTAAAAATATAAAGATCAAAGAAGTGATTTCTGAGTAATGTTTGATAGCAAGGAAAAACAAATAATAAGTATTTAAATTTATATCTTGTACAGTATATTGTATACAAACAAAAGAAATGGCATTACATTTGAACTACTTCTTTACTGAAAAAATAATTTCGTTGACGAATATAATTAATTAGAATTTCTTATCATTTTAAACGCAAATATATTAAATAAGTTAAAAAGTTAATAATTAGAAACATTAAATAAAATTACAATTATTTAATTAGTAAGTTATTATAGAAAAATAAATGATAGTTACCTTTGTTTTTATTGTTATTATTGTTTTAACCTTTTGTTTCTTTCTTTAATACATGTTAATGACTAAATATCTGCTATAATTAACCTGTTTAAAAAATAACATCTTATTTGGTTATTTCCTCTATAAACTTTTCACTATTGATAAAACATATAGATCTATAGCCTGTCTCTGCCCCATTTTCAGTTCCTTGCCATTGATAAGTATTTTATATAGCCTAAGTATCATATTGAATAGTAAGTATTATGTTATAGTTAACATATGTAAAACGTGTTTACTTGGATTCTTATTGAGCACGTCATGTTGAATGTAAAATATATTGCTGTAGTTTTGTTTCTTCAGCTATGTATTGTTTATGGTGAACATAAAAATGTATTCGATTATATAATAGGTAGGTCTTTTTCATTTTATTTTTAAATGTTTTTCTGTCTTAAATTGAAAAATATTCCTAATTTTAAGATAGATATTTCAGTAAATCACTTATGAGTTAATNTGTGGAGGTTATAGTATAGTTAAATTTATTATTTTTAATTAAAGTTTATGTAAAGTGATAATATGTCGCACGGATCTACTGATTTGCTATGATATTTTCACAGATAGTTGGGATTAATAGAAGTTTTCTTTTTTGATAGCATCCTTTTATCTATACCGAGGTCTGCCTCCTCCCTCTTGTCTAGTTGTTCTCCAATTGCAAAGTATTGTGCTCTTCCTATTGTATTTTGTTTGCTGTCCATTTATCTGTTGCAAGCAAACCGCATTTATATTCAGTATTTCAACAACCATAGTAATTGTTATATAACACCTACCGCTGAGAATGATGAGAATTGCTGAGAATCAAAGGAACCGTTTTCATTTTGATCAATTTTCTGTAACGTTTACAATCGTTCTATAATCGAACCAATACGCAATTCGAATTTAAAACGGTTCGAACATTTGAATAAAAAATCAAAATATATAAAAATACAGTAGATTCCCCTATAACGTGGGTTCCTATAACGGAGATTCCTATAACGTGGCGAAAAAATTGCAATATTCGTATAAGTACACTAAAAGGAACTCGTAAAACGTCGTCGCCGACTCATGTCGTGACAGGATTGGTCGAATCTAGAATAATAGTGGACGAGCAGCCGAACTACTTTCCGCCGTCCAGCGCCACGCTACAGAGAGTTTAGGCGGGTAAATTGAGTTTACTATCGTCTGTACAGTATGTAAATTAAGTACCGTAAGTCTAATACAGTACTGTAATTTTATACATTTCTTGTGAAAGAAACATTTCTTATTCATCGGCCATAAAAATTATTTCTATTAATAATGTCTCCAAAGTTCAACGAATTTTTCGCAGAAAAATAACTTATCAGAAATTGCGGCCGCCGTTTGGTGCGCCGCACCGCGACGAAAACAAGCTTAAGCAATGGCGACGTCGAACGGTGCACACTCGGTAAGTAATCTTACAATTTTTTGTTTATAGCATAGTTTATACGGATTATTCCCAAAAAAACTATACGTATTTTGGAATTGTTGAGTCGAATTAGTCTAGAATCGATTAATTTTATAGAAGAAAACCTTTCAAACAGCCGTAGTTTGTAAACTTCACACGTGTCGGGCTGTGATTGGCTAATGTATTTAAGGATTCCTACAACGTGAAATTCGTATAACGTGAAACGTATCTACGCGTTATAGGGGGGTTTACTGTATTTATAACAATGTCTGCAATGTTATCAATTTAATACACCTAAGTACTAAATAAAGACTAAACGTTGAAAACAAAAAAATCGCATCTAAAATAGTACAGCAGAAGTCGTTTTCAGGTTAAGCCTTAATCCTCCCCCTCTCCCCCGCAGGGTAATTTCCAAAAATCCCTTCTTAGTGTGCGTTTTCATGACGTACCCTAACTGTGTACAAAATTTCACCTCTTTAGGTTTAGCGGTTTGCTCTGGCGGATGATGAATCAATTACTGAGTCAGTCAAAACAAGAAATTTGATATCTTTAGATTGTTTATTGCTGTTTTTTTTTAAATTTTTTGTATATAAATTTGTTTAGACGTGTACTAACTTCAATATCTTCATTTGTTGAGCATTTAACATTTGTTTACTTTTTTGTTGTGTGAAGTCTAGTTCCATTTGTCATTATAAAACGTGCTACTGTTTTTTTATACTTTAATTTATGTGGTTTTTTTTAAACAATTGCCTATTCTTATTGCCTTTAATACTGAAATCACTCTTACTATATTTATTTTATCAATTTGTTATAAATCTATTTGTTTTATATACATCATCTGTCCTGATATCCAGCTCTAATATACGTAAATGAACTGTCATACATGTCGTTTAAAGATGATATTTTTATATTAAGTTTTTCTGCCTGTTTTTAATTATTAAAAAAAAATTACTTTTCTGGCTTATTCCTCGTAGGCGTAATAAAATACATTTAATTTTTTACTATTGATTTTCTTTACTCCTATCTATACTAATATTATAAAGAGGTAATGTTTGTAAGTATGTATGTAAGTTTATATGCAGCAGGTAATCTCCGAAACTATTCATCCGATTTCAAAACTTTTTTCACCAATATCTAGAATGGAACTTTAGGGTGGACATAGGCTGTATATTATTCCGTTAAACATGAGAGATGGACAGTTCTTTACGGTAAGCCTTACGGGGAAGGATTACCGTAAAGAACTCTGCTTCTATTTATACTATTTTAGATGCGGGTTTTTGCGTTTTTGATTGCGTTTTAATAGAATACGTCAACAGAATGTACACTAAGAAGGGATTTTTCGATATTTTCCCCGCGGGGGAGAGGGACAGGGTTAAGGCTTACTGTGAAGAACTTGGCTTCTATTATACTATTTTAGATGCGGGTTTTTGCGTTTTTGATTGCGTTTTAATAGGGTACGTCAAGAGAATGTACACTAAGAAGAAATTTTTCGAAAAATTCCCCCCCCCACGGGGAAAGTGTTATACATTTATAATATATACATTTTGAGCCACAACAAGTCGTGGCGGGGTCTGCTAGTTTAAGAATAAACTGCAAAATTTTTTCCTAGTTGTAAACAAATAAATTCCCTTATAATTTTCTGCTTTAAATTCTTCTATTTTAGTCTGTGAGAATTTATTTACACTGAATAATATTCTAATTATAATAACTTTTCACTGTAATATATATTATAAATTAATTATTAATTATATTGGTGTCTGTTGATGTTTAATTTTTAATTTTTTCACTACGACTTCTAGCGATTTTTGTTTTTTCCGCTGTTATATATATCAGATGGACCCCCGAAAATCCCCCGAATCAAAAACTGACCTTCTAATTTTTACACTTTTTGGACTTAGAACATCTTGAAACGTCGAGAAATAATAATAATATTATACAAATTGTTTGTTTCTGCAGTTGGTTCAGGATCAGCAGGAGCAGTTATAACAAACAGGATTTCGAAACTACCATACATTAAAGTTCTTCTGTTAGAAGCGGGAGAGATGCCACCATTGTCATCGGAAATTCCATTTTCCCCCTTAAATTTAGCTAAAACACAATACAATTGGAATTTTACAACTATACCTAGTAAAACCATTGCTCAAGGACNGAAACTACTCATCCGATTTCAAAAATTCTTTCACCAATATTTAGAATGGAACTTCAGGGTGGACATAGGCTGTATATTATTCCGTTAAACATGAGAGATGGACAGTTCTTTACGGTAAGCCTTACGGGGAAGGATTACCGTAAAGAACTCTGCTTCTATTTATACTATTTTAGATGCGGGTTTTTGCGTTTTTGATTGCGTTTTAATAGAATACGTCAACAGAATGTACACTAAGAAGGGATTTTTCGATATTTTCCCCGCGGGGGAGAGGGACAGGGTTAAGGCTTACTGTGAAGAACTTGGCTTCTATTATACTATTTTAGATGCGGGTTTTTGCGTTTTTGATTGCGTTTTAATAGGGTACGTCAAGAGAATGTACACTAAGAAGAAATTTTTCGAAAAATTCCCCCCCCCACGGGGAAAGTGTTATACATTTATAATATATACATTTTGAGCCACAACAAGTCGTGGCGGGGTCTGCTAGTTTAAGAATAAACTGCAAAATTTTTTCCTAGTTGTAAACAAATAAATTCCCTTATAATTTTCTGCTTTAAATTCTTCTATTTTAGTCTGTGAGAATTTATTTACACTGAATAATATTCTAATTATAATAACTTTTCACTGTAATATATATTATAAATTAATTATTAATTATATTAATGTCTGTTGATGTTTAATTTTTAATTTTTTCACTACGACTTCTAGCGATTTTTGTTTTTTCCGCTGTTATATATATCAGATGGACCCCCGAAAATCCCCCGAATCAAAAACTGACCTTCTAATTTTTACACTTTTTGGACTTAGAACATCTTGAAACGTCGAGAAATAATAATAATATTATACAAATTGTTTGTTTCTGCAGTTGGTTCAGGATCAGCAGGAGCAGTTATAACAAACAGGATTTCGAAACTACCATACATTAAAGTTCTTCTGTTAGAAGCGGGAGAGATGCCACCATTGTCATCGGAAATTCCATTTTCCCCCTTAAATTTAGCTAAAACACAATACAATTGGAATTTTACAACTATACCTAGTAAAACCATTGCTCAAGGACTTAAAAACAGGGTAGGTAATTTGTAATAAAACATTTCTAGAAAATAAATAAATTATATAATTGAATCGACTTAATTCCTATCCAGCAAAATAAAATTGTAGCAGGAAAAGCTCTAGGAGGAAGCACGAATTTAAATTTAAACTTATTTGTGCGAGGAAACAAAAGAGATTACGATAACTGGGCAAAACACGGTGCCGTAGGTTGGGATTGGAATAGTGTCTTTCCCTATTTTTTAAGACTCGAAGACAATCGAGATTATAGTTATATACGCAATGGTAATTCTGTTTTTTTAATATAATTTATAGGCCTATATATTTACTATAAAACATAGAGTAACTTAATAAGAGTTATGTACAATACAGGTTTTCACGGTGTTGGTGGAAATGTTGTTATACAGACACCATCTTTTCATTTGCCAATAACAGAAGGTTATTTACAAGCAGCCAAAGAAATTGGATATAATATTGGAGATTTTAATGCAGAGCCTCAGACAGGTAAAATATTTTGTTATATTTAAATATCACTAGTTATTACTACTTAGTTTTGATATAAAATCCGTTTAAAAAAATTAGATTTTCTAAATATAAGGAAAAGTAATATAAGGATAAAAATATAAAGGAATATATAATGAGAATACAGTAGACCGTCGTTTATCCGAAAGTCGGTTATCCGAAAGCATTCCAGTCGGCAAATTTAAATATTCGCTAGTGCTGTGGCGCTACAATCTTTGGCTATATCTTGGGTTTTTCCAATATTTTTTTTTGTCGGTGTGTGTATTTTAGCTGGCAGCATTGGCACTTTTGTGTGGTGTTTTTCTGAGGGCTGTGTGTGGTGCTGAATCGAACGTTTTTGATACTAGATCAACTTCTAAAGTATTTTTTTTTGTTTTTACATTTTTCAATATATTTATTTTATTTCACAAAATAAAAAATAATTTTGAACAATACAATAACCACGATTATTATTTTAAAAGTTTTCGTTAGGCTTAACATCGACGAAAATTCAACGCAAAGCGACACGCAACGGAAAAAAATTTCAACATGGGATAGATTAATATATTTTTTCGTATATAATCGGTTATCCGAAAAATAAGTTATCCGAACAACCTCAGTCCCCAATTGATTCGGATAAACGACGCTCTACTGTACTTACTGCTTTTTGGTAATACAATGTGTAATAGATATTTGATTTACATTTTGGAAAATATGTTTATATATATTTTTAATTTGTCAAAGATCATGACATACATTGTAAACATTATTTTAATTCATAAGTTTTTTTAATATATAAAACGTTTCAGTGTTTCAACCACCTCAGGGAACAATTAATAGGGGAGCACGTTGGGGTACTCTTAAAGCATACATTAATCCTGTACGCGGTAGAAGAAATCTCTCCATTCTAACTTCAGCATTTGTTCACAAGGTAACTCGTCTTCAACTTACGGTTTGTAAAAATAAATAAATAAATAAATACACTTTTTACATTTATAGATATTGATCCACAACAATCGTGCTTACGGAGTTAAATTCGAGCACCACGGTAAGTTGTACGAAGCTTATGCCAAACAAGAAGTGATCGTATCTGCAGGGGTCTTCAATTCCCCGAAACTCCTAATGCTATCAGGAATTGGGCCAAAGCGTACCTTAGAAAGGTTCAATGTAATGACTGTTTTAGCCTAAAATTTTAATAATTTTTACACAAATATAACTTATAATATGAATTTTAGATTCCCGTTGTAGTAGATTTACCAGTTGGGAGTAATGTTCAAGAACATCCATCTACATATGGTTTGTTTTTTGGAGCTAAAACTGTTACTTACCTATCAGAACGTATTACAGTAGATCATTATAATGAATTCCTAATAAATGGCACAGGTAAGATTGAGATAAACACCTTATACAATACTTACTTTCAAATATTTTCAAATATTTGTTTATGTTTTTATACTATTTTAGGTCCACTGACAACACTAGGATCACTGGAAACAATTGGATTTGTAAATTCTAAATATAACGATGAACCTGATTGGCCAGATATTGAACTCTTATGGTTTACTCTATCTGCGGCATCTGATAAAGGTGAAAATTTAAGGCCCGCCATGAACATTAACGACGAAGTAAGCTAATTTATATTGCTTTATATACATATGTAAAATGTATGCCATTGCTTTATCATGTGTTTAAATCATATCGCCATTATTAGCTACTAATAATTGACTTCTGTGTCAAAATCTTGTAACTCGAAATCCACTGACAGGAAATATTAATTAGCGAAAAATATTCAATTGTTATTACTAGTCTTTTTTTTTTTTTCTTAGAATAGAGTTTAATTGTCCTTTCTGCTATAGTTAACAACTAGAAGAATGACGTTATTTTAATTTTTATCTACTTTGAATTCCCACGAATACATTTTTAATTTCTATTCTTGTTTTCTCTGTCCAATGAACTTATAATAATTCAAAAAAATTTGACAAATATCTTCATTGAAAATATGCATACTTATATTGTTTAATGTATGAATCAGTTAAAATAAATTATTCTTACAGCACAGTTAATATTCTTGTATACTTGATCCTCAGTGAAATAACTCGCAGTCTAAAGATCCACTGTAATACAAGAATCTTGCTTTCGCATAATATATTGTACATTTAGAAGGTTTGATTTAACTTCAGACAAGATTAAAATTTTCGTATTTAATTAGAATTTAGACCTACATTTAATGCCTCATTGATTTAATAATTGTATAAATTTATTAATTTTCTAATTGTAATTCAATACACTATAATTATAAATTTGTTATTATTATGGAGGTATGGAAGACAACTTTCGAACCATTTACATCGATTGATACAATAACTTGTTTACCATATCCAACACGTCCTAAAAGTAGAGGATTCGTTTCTATCAGATCTAGTGAACCTCATGACGATCCTCTCATTGATTTAAAATTTTATTCGAATCCATATGACTTAAAAGTTATGGTTGAAGGTAAGATAATTATAATTTTCTAGTGGTAAAGGTTTACAGAGTATAATACAATAACCTCTTGACTCATTTAAGCTTAATATAGTATTTAATAACTCAATTTTTAGGTTTGAAGTACTGCCTGAGAATGGCATCCACGAAAGCGATGAAAAAGTATGGAGTCAATCTCCTTCCGATAAGTGTGCCCGGTTGCGGACATTATGAGAGATTTAGTGATGAATATCTCGCTTGTGTGGCAACAACAATTCCATTTACAATTTACCATTGTTCTGGATCGTGTAAAATGGGAAGTTATGCTGATTCTACAACTGTGGTTGATCCAGCGCTCAAGTAAGCATTCGTAATTCTTACTGAACGTAGTATTTCATGAAATATTAAAAATTCTGGTAACAAAGAATTAGATTTGAAAACTGGAAAGGGTATAAAATACATTTTGCATTATATACTTTCTTTATTCTTTCTATGCTTTTAAAATTATGGATTTCTTTACTATTGAGGGCAATGGAATGCTCTGGGAGATCGCAACCTGCATTAGTGAAAAATCTAGTAGTAGTAGACTTTTGAATGTAGCTAAATGGGCATAATTTTAGAAAATTTTAACATAAGAAATATTATAAAAAAATAACTTTCTTTAGCTTTTGATGCTCTTAAAAATATACTTTGTATTGTTTCAAATCATAAGAATCCAACAGTAACACAGATAAAGCAGTCTTAAGGTATCAATTTTCGATATTTTTCATATGTTGTATACATATTTTAAAGATTTTCTCGTTTTATTTTCAAGTCATTGTTGCGATTATTTAATATAGCAAAACAATAGATTGCTTCTATGGTTAAATATGAGTACCAACATACCAGAAAACACTGTGTCACTGTAATGAGTTATAATTTAACAAGAGAATTACAGTAATTGTTAAACAATATAAGAAAGAAGACAATTACCATGAAGCAATGTGTTTTTTAATGAAAGAAATATCAAGGATGACGAAATAGTCTATCTCCTAGAAGTTAACTGCCAACTTTCTCTGGAAGGCTTTGTAGATTTCTACTTGTTCCTGGTGTTTCAGACGAGGCATTTTGAATAAAATTCATTTGTTTCGATGCAATTTTATCCTTAAAACCCGTAAAACTGAAATAGCTCTATGGAAAAGCCTCATGAACTTTGACGTATTTTACAGAATGATTACATTAGTAATTATACATGCTAATTGATTTTAAGGGATACAATGAAAAATATATATAAGTATGTATTTCAATCTAATGCATTCTTTGACATACCTTTTATTTGTTGTTTCAGTTGAAAAAGTGTATGCTAGTATATTTAAAATTGTATTTATTTATTCAACGTAAGATTTTTTCGAAATAAGCAACAACTTAGTGCTTAATAATTTTTCTTTATCTTATAGAGTTAAAGGTGTAGAAGGACTAAGAGTAGCGGATGCTTCCATAATGCCATTTGTGGTAACTGGACACTTGAACATTCCAACTATGATGATTGGGGAGAAGGCTGCCGATATGATTCTCTATGATTTATTACATAAACCTAAACACAAATGAAAATAAAGCTTTACGTTTGTTTATAATTAAATAATGGTAATGTATCCTTAGTCTACTGCTTTATATTGTCAGCAGTATTGTCTTCGAACATATTTTATGATTGAAAATTTATTTATATGTAATTAAAAAATCAAATATCTCTTTATTATTTACATTAGTAATTTAATAAGCGTATGGAGGAGTCAAGTTCTGTTCTTTTTGCTTCAATTAAGAGAATATACTATATAACGAAAGTGTATTTGAATTAAAAGTTATTATAAGTAACAATTAAAATAATAAACTGACACTTTTATCCTAAAAATAAATTGTCTAGAGAATTCCTTTATGATTTAATGTAGAATAGATCTTAAAGGGGCCAGTTGAAATGAACGAAAACTCACAGGTGTATTGTGGCCTGAATGACGTTCTTGCACTTCTTTCCAGGGATGAAACGAGTTCCTAAAATTTTCTGGCGATTTTGTTATAAGGAAAAAAAACATCAAATTTTTTAAAAATAAAGAACCTAATTGTGAAATATTGTTATTTGTTTACAACTGTAAAGATACTGATTATAGTAGCGTGATTCTTAGAACTGGAACCTAACACTATAAATAAATTTCAATTTATTTTACTTTCTCTGCTGTTATAACACACGAAGGTATTGTAAAATGACCGCTAAAGAATAACACGTGTTCTGTTTGTCAAGATCTTCTTTTTCATAGGTAAATTATTAAATATTGTGGAATCGAAGTTGAATCTGCAAAAGACGAGTCTTTTTCAGATTCATCTCTGATCCCACAGATTAAATGTTTGCCCTAGCTGATTTTCCAACATTTTTTTCTAATTAACACGGGTTGTGGTATTGATAACTATATCGTCTTCAAAGAGATGATGACTCAGAAATTCTTCACTTATTTTAATTCCTTTCTTGCTTTAGTTCAGACTTCTGAAAACTTTCTCTAATACAGCATTGATTAGTTTTGGCAATATTGAGTCTGTTTGTCTAACTTCTTTTCCAAACCCGATCCTTGCCTTTTCTTTATTCGATTATATGGTTGCTATTGCTTCTTTTTATATCTTGTGATTACAACAATGTATACGCTTTCTATATCATAAGATTCTCAGGATTTCACTTCTGCATATAAACAAATACGTTCAAAAGCTGTTTCGAAATCTACAAAAGCAAAACAAAGTGATAAATTATATTCTTTACGACATTCAATAAGTTCTTTGATTTCTTGAATGTTATACACTGTGCTAAATTTCCATCGAAATTCTATTTCTTATCTTGGTTGAGTAGAGTCCAGTTTAGATTCTAATCTATAAATATTTTAGTAAAGATCTTGTACATATTGGATTAAAGGGTGATAGGTTTGTAGTGTTTTGTTTTCTGCCCCATCCACTTTGGAACAATGCAATAACGTTCTTCTTTTCAGTCTTCTGGTACATCAGACTTCTTGATGCATTGAGTGAAGAGAACTGCTGAAATACTAGCGAAATCTTCACCAGCTTATATATATATAATGTGCTTGTGTGCATGTATACTTGCACTATTTTGTTTAATAATATCTCTAGATAGGACAAAGATACTCTAAAGAAATTTGGCGTGATAAAATATAATTTTATACGAGGCAGTGATTTTATTAAATTTTGATGATAAAATGTCGAAGGAGTGGAAAGACAGAGCGAGGTTATATGTGATATCTCGAATTTGGTCGGACTCAATAAAAGTGTTACTCGTTATTGGCATTTACAGTATTTTAGAAATCCATCTTTATCCCAATAATTAAGCCTGTTCTGCGTTTTTAAATAATTAATAATATAAGAGTTATTTTTTAATAACACTTCATAAAAGATGGCGCCATGAACAAATTTGTTTTTCTGCTAATGTGTATTTTTGCCCGGAAAGTTACGCAACTCGTTGCTGCTATTTTCTGTAACTTTTTTACTTAAACGTTTGTAAAAATTCTAAAATGTTTTCAATATTCCTAACTTTGTAATTTACATGACATACCGTGGAAATTTTTGCATTACAAAAATACCATAGGAAGAAAAAATGCTGGATTTCTCGCTGAAGACAGGCACTAATTCAGAGAAGAAAATTTGGAGAGACTTGCGAGTGTCGTATGTAATCAATGCGATTTGACACTGCAGCAATTTAAAATGAAGGTATCTTTACAAAAACACCATTACATACACTTTGTGCTATTTTTTTATCTCTGGACCACAAAAATTAATTTCTTTAAAACTTTAAAGAACTGGAAAATGTTCCAAAGCACATTTAGTACGATAAACTTTATATTTATTTGCATACGTTTTTGGAAAAATGTTCATGTACTAGAGCCCCTTTAGCCAACACTCGAAAACATCGAGTGACGTTTTCATTTCCCCGGACGAGGACCTAGGGATTAGATTTCGGGAAGCAGTGTTGGTGTTAAGTGACGGTGTCGTTTATGGTAACCAAGTGTGATATGTAAATGATTGAATGCAACGAAGAAACTAGATAATGGTTGAATTGTGAATGTTATCGTGAGTGGTGTTTATAAGGATGTGTTGTAATGAGAGTGATTAAATCGTCCAAATAATGAAATTCCTACTACTTCTTTTTCATCCGCAATACAGTGAAGACTGGGTTAAGTGATGGATGAAAGACTTCAACGTCTTTCTACCTTTCCACCACTCCTCTGTAAACAACACCGTAACATCGTCAGTCCTTTCTCTTAGGTCTTTATCGGTCTTATTCCTTTACCTCTTTCTGAGTCTAAAATTCTGACTGATGGATTAATACTTACCTGGCACCGAGGACAGGTTATTGCACTCCAAACTGGATCAGATGGAGCGTGTAATTTGTGGTATATATGTTGCTAAATATCTGACAATCCTGTTATAATAATTTAATAAGACTGAGAATTCCTTTAGAAGAAATCTGTAATTGCGTAAGACTTATTTATTGCGTAAGACTTATTGAAAAAGTTGTGTAAACATATTGATAAAGAAGAAAAAGAATTGTTTAAATATTTAAATGTAAATTTAAAACTAGTATCTAATTTAATGTTAGATAAGAGTTCTTTCATAATTATATTATATGTAAGTAAAAACGGTTATCTCTAAATAACTATATAGAACATTTTCTAAATTGCTATCAAGTAGTATTGAGAAGGAGATATACTAAGATTGATTGATTTGTTAATAAGTAGTACCAGCCATAAAGCATTTGTGACCGATAAATTTGGTCAATAATAGATGTGATCTACAACTAGGTATAAGATGGTATGAGCGATTCACACAGAACGAATCTGACATATGTAATACTCCAATACGTGTTAGATCTTGATAAAATTCAAAGACCCGCTATTCTCATATTAGATATTATCTCCAATTCGTGATTAGGAAGGTTTGAATAAATGTTTACAATATATATAGTGTTTTCTAGGAGAAAATGTCTTTCTTCTTCACCTCCCACATTTTCAAAATAGTTCTAAATCAAAATATTTTATAAACAATAGAATAATTCTTAATAATTATCGCAAAGTAACAGGTGATTTACATTCAAAAACTGATCTTTCCTGTTCCTAATCTGAATTAAATCCTCAAAACTCTTTATCTTTTCCATTGAAAGTCACGTTGGGTATATTGCAAATTTCCCTCACTGTTCGTTTAAGACAGAAACAGTTCAGAAACCCAAAATATTTTTAATATAATGAACTTTAAATTCGTGACAAGAATGTAATTTAAATATCAAGTAATCATTCACTCGTTCGTTAATTAAAAAACTAAACGTCGAAATATCCATAAGAACAAAAAATAATAATAAATGATAAATATTTCTATAATAAATAAATATCATGTAAGACTGCCAAGAGCCTTCTCGGTTCAACAACCATAGAATTTGCTCTATATAAAGTAATGTACAGTGAAACTTTATAAATAAAATAAAAGTTGATGTATTGAGTCATCGGAACTGTCAAGTTTAGTGTCAAACTATTTGACAAAGTAATTTCATAATTAATAATTCATCAAATTGGAAACCGTTTTAATAGTGAAGAATATAATTTGATGAAATCACGTTGTGAATTTAATTTTATAACTTATAAATTATATATTCGTTCAAGCATCTCTAAATTACTCGCTCTCAATAGTGGGTAAAGTAGTATATAACTATAAATTTGGTTATAAATTTGATAGATAATGCTAGTTGTAATCGTTTAAAATTTATTATTTATATATCATACAGCACGATGGTTCTTTATTGTAGAGCTTATCCATTCGTGTAATGTTAAAGTGCCAAATTGAATCGTTAATATCTTCAAGACCTATGAACCGTACTCTCAGATGAATGTATGAAGTAAGAGTTATCATGAAAACTCCCCTCTTATGAAGTTATTGATGACTAAAAGTACTTGAAATCCCTTTAAAAAAGTGGTGAAACTGGTTTAAAAAGTAGAGATCAGCAAAAGAACTAAATAAAGGAAACTTTTAAAACTTGAGGCATAAGAATAATGGAAGTAGAGTAAGACTCAACATGTGAATAAAGTACCCATTACCCTGACTACAGTTATAGTATTGAATGAATTAATGCCGTCATGATAATAAATAAAAAAAATAAGCATCATCACAGAAAGAAGGCTTCGAGAAGCTTTACTTTGTGCTTTAAAGTCCTTAAACGCTTTACAAGTATGAATGTAGGTACTAGCAATACGAATGAAGTATAAGCTCTTATATTTTGTACACGTACAGTACAAAACACATACTTATTGTATATAATTACATGTCACATACCTAACTATTTTTAGTATTTATTTGATTTTTTTCCCTTCATTTATTTGTTTACATAGGTAAAGGAGAAGGAAAGACCCTGTGTTAAGAGACTTTACATTAACCACCATTATGAATTTTTATTATTGAAACAGTCGAGTTTATCTGACTCAAATATCGTTATATCAATTTACTAACATAAAGGAATTCAAGTGTGAATTTAAATGATAGTAATAAGG